TTTCTTTCTTTCTTTCTTTCTTTCTTTCTTTCTTTCTTTCTTTCTTTTTTTCTTTCTTTCTTTCTCTGTTAAATCCTGGGCCTCAAGCATGTACTATGCTCCTGACTGGCACCCCTGGCTCTCTTTTTGATGTTTTGTTTTGAGACATTGTCTGAGTTGCTCAGACTGGCTTTGAACTCATTCTGTAGCCCAGGCAGGTTTAATAATCCTCCTGCCTCAGCCTCTTTAGTAATTAGTAGCAGGTTTTCTCCACCGAAGAAATAAGCCAATTCAAGCCAAATTAAAAGTGAAAAAGCAGGTTTATTTGGGGGCTGTGCTCAGGTGGGTTCGCTGGTCTCAGAGAACAAGGTCAGGTAAATAGCGAGGCAGATGGTGGGGCAGAGAGAGAGAGCGTGCACATTCAGGAAGAGAAATGCAGAAAGAGAGAAAGAGAGAGCACTAAGTGTCTCTAGGAGAGGAGAAGCCCAGTCCCTGGACTAGAAATTTCAGGGTACAAGGTGGGGTATGCCAGCCATACCCTGTAACACATAAGGACTGAGGGCTGCTGGGAGAACCTGGAGGCCAGGTATGATTTGATATATAGGCACCTCAGCCAATAACATCTTAGATTCAGTGTCTACATTGTAGTTTTAAAATTGGAGGCAGCGTGGGGCTGGAGAGATAGCTAAGCAGTTAAGAGCACTTGCTGCTCTGGTAGAAGACACAGGTTTGGTCCCCATTATCCACAGAAAGCAGCTCATGGGGATCTGATGTTCTCTTCTTGCCTCAGCAGGCAGCTAGCATACTCATGCAGACTCTTAAACATAAAATAAAGTAAGTAAGTCTTTGAAAATAATCAAGAAGTTGGGCACATGCGCAGAAAGATAGGATCCCGTAGTCCTATGTTCCCTCAGAGTGAGGATGGGGGTTGGGAGTGGGAATTAGAGCCTGCGCATCAGGTGACCTTTATACTTCAACCTTCTACCACTCTCACTGGCTCCACCAGTTGTCATCTGTCTTCATCATCTTCTTGGTTTTCTGTGGTAAGGATTTTTTTAAATAATTTATTTATTTTTATTTTATGTGCATTGGTGTTTTGCCTGCATGTATGTCCATGTTAGGGTGTCAGATCTTGGAGTTACAGACAGTTGTGAGCTACCATGTGGGTACTGGGAATTGAACCCTGGTCCTCTGGAAGAGCAGTCAGTAACTCTTAACCGCTGAGCCATCTTCAGCCCCGTAAGGATATTTTTCTTGGTGGGGCTCCCTCGTCTCTATCAAAAACACATCAAGGAAAGGCAGACGATGATTTCATTTCCCTCACTTCTGGGGCCTCTCGCCTCTCAACAACCCTGTTGTTTCCTGCTGGTTTGCATCAGGAGCAGGTCTGAGGACAAAGGCTGCCTCCCCATACCCTTGCAAGTTGCAGTCAGCTCTCCCTCTGTGATGGGAGCTCTTCAGACCTGCATCCTCCTGACCTGGTTCCCACCTCCACGAAGGAAGCACCACAGCCTCCCAGGCTCTTGCCACCCGAAGGATGTGGCTCCAGGGGCTTTCAGCTGCCGTTGCTGGAGGTTCGGGTAACATCTGAGGCGGGTTCAGGAAGAGGAAGGGGGTGGGAAACCTGGATCCCGGTTCAGGCCTCCCCAGGGACTTTGCAGTGCAGTGACCTCTTATTTTCTCTTTCAGTTAGCAAGCTAGACTTAGCCAAGGCAATTGCTACCACTAATGCCAAGTTTGAAAGGGCACTTATTCTGAAACTCCATGCAATCATGCTGATAATAGCCACTCTTTCTTCATGGTTTCCACGTGCCAGGCTATGTGCCAAACTCTTCCGGCAGTGAGCTTTACCATGAAAGGAAAGTTTGCAAAGGATGTGTGAACTCAGGCTCAGGGCACAGCTCAGTGGCAGAGCATCTGGCCCTTTCCCAGTGTGAGATCTGAAGATGTGTGTGGCTCACTCCAGAGCTGACACATGACGGAGCCTTTCTCCAGAGTTCAAATCCTTTGTGTGTGTGTGTGTGTGTGTGTGTGTGTGTGTGTGTGTGTGCTTTTTTTTGAGACAGGGTTTCTCTGTGTAGCCTTGGCTGTCCTGGATTCATTTTGTAGACCAGACTGGCCTTGAACTCACAGAGATCTGCGTGCCCCTGCCTCCCAGAGTGCTGGGATTCCAGGCCTGAATCATGCCTGGCTCAGAGTTCAAGTCTTAAGGAATGTGTCATTGGGCTTGTGGGGAGAAGGGTGTTTCGTTTTGCTTTTTGAAACCAGCTCTCCCTGTGTGGCCCAGGCTGGCTTTGATGCTGTCTCCCTGACCTCTTTTTACTTACTACAATGCAAGGAGTCCAACAGGCAGAGAGGGGCAGAGAGCAACCTGCCAAAACCTTGATGGTCTACCTCCCACCTCACCCTTCCAAGTGCCAGGATGTATGCCACCATGCCCAGCTTGGCACTGTTTCTGAAAGCACTAGCCATGGACCCTTAAATGTGTAGTCTCCTGAACTCCCTCAGACCTCCTGCACTCTGCCCCTAGGAGTGTAGGCCTAGGACTTGTGTGACATTAAGCCACAGCCCCTCTTCCTCTCCGTTTGTCAGAGTTTTAGGGTCCACTGCAGCAGGTACACCCCTTTCCCTAGGTCATCAGGGACCTCAGGCAGCAGCCAGCTTCAGCCCTCCCACGTTAGGCCCTTCGCGCCTAGATCCCTTTCCGTCTGGGTTCCATTGTGCATTCCCCAGAAGGGCAAGGCCAGACAGAAAAACACACAAATGAATGGCTGGGAATTTCCAGCTTTGAGTCGAAATAATACATGTTTTGGAGGAAAGAGAGAGAAAGAGAGAGAGAGAGAGAGAGAGAGAGAGAGAGAGAGAGAGAGAGAAAGTTGCATGTAGTATATATGTTCCAGCATGGTATGTGAGTACCCACAGCTGCTGTGAGGGGATAGGGAGGAGACCTCAGGGGCCTCAAAGGCCCATGCATATGTGCTCAGTAAATGATGACTCAACTTCCAGGACTTGAAACAAAACCTAGTTCCAAAACAAAAGCCAGTAGGCTGGCTTGCCTGAAGCAGCAGCCAGGCTCAGGGGCTAGGACCCCTGAGAGACCTCTGTAATGTCAATACACTGTAGTCATGCCTCCGAGGCCAGGAGAATTTCAGAGCAGATGCTCTTTCTTAGCCTCCAGGGGACCCTGCTGCCCCTAGGGGGGCAGAATAGGACTGTTCAAGATGAGTACCTTGTCTCTAGCACTCATACAAATAAAAACACAATAAAACATGGGGCTTGCTGGCTGTGTGACTTTAGCCCAGTTACTTAACCTCCCTGGACCTTGTTTTTCTCTTGCATAAAAGAGAAATATAAATACTAATCTCAGGGGTAAAGAAGTCACTAAATAACCCTCAGTGAACACTCAAGACAAATGATATGCCCAGTGGGGTTCCCCATAATCCATATTTCCAAATGGTTTGAAACTGCCCCCCTCCCCCTGCTTTTGAAACTTGACATTGGGGGCTGAAGAAAAGGCTCTCCCACCCAGAAGACCTGAGTTCAGCTCTCTGCACCCACAGCAGGCAGCTCAGAACTGCTTGTAACAATAGTTCTTGGAAATCTGATGCCCTTTTCCGGCTTCCAAAGGTACCATATAATGTACACATACACAGAAATACATATAACACACATAAATTAACAATAAAAGAAATTATCAAAAAAGAAAAAAAAAAGACAAGGCCTCATAAGGGTGGGGCTGGCCATGAAATTAGCATGTTGTCAAGGGCAACCATGCATTCATAATCTTCCTGCCTCTTCCTCCCATTCCTGATGGGGGAGTGTGGAGCAGGATATCACATGTTGCTGACCTCAAATTGTTGGGCAGAGGATCCTCTCAGCCTCAGACTCCCAAGGGTCTGGGAATACAGGGTTTTGTTATTGGGTATTCAAACAAGAGTATATATAGAATTACAGGGTGACCATAAATAAATATAGTCTTCCTGGTCTTCAGGAAAGTAAAAAAAATACCGTGGTCTCCAAGCCAGACAGTGTTCATGTTTGCCCGTGGCTGTAATCCCAGCACCAGAGAGGTGGAGGCAGGAAGATTGCTGAGAGTTCAAGGCCAGCCAGACCTAAAGTGGACTGTTCAAAAGAAGGAAGAAAAAGGAAGAGGAGGCAGAGGGAGGGAAGAAGATGGGAGAAATAAAAAAATTAAACAGATAAGAATAATCTGTAAGTTGGAGCTGGAGAAATGGCTTAGTGGTTACGAGCTCTGGTCGCTCTTCCAGAGGACCCTGGATGCAGTTCCCAGCAACCGTATGGCAGTTCATCACCAACTCTGCTCCAGTCCCAGATT